GGAGGCAGAGCTTGCAGTGAGCTGAGATCACGTCACTGCACTCCAGCCTTGGCGACAGAGTGAGACTCTATTTAAAAAAAAAAAAAAGAAAGAAATTGTTTATTGTAGTAAAATATATGTAACACAATTTACCATCTTAACCCATTTTTAAGTCTATAGTTCAGTGTTAAATACATACCATCCACAGATTAGGAGAAAACATTTGGAATATATAAAGAACAAAAATCACAATTTGTTTTGCTAGGCTTAGATATTCATACTCTGTGTATGCCAAGGTGAGAGGAACACTTGAGGCCAGGAGTTGGAGACCAGCCTGGCCACTCTCTTATCAGTATCCCTTGATGCACAAAATTTTTTAATTTGATGAAGTACAATTTAGTTTTTCTTTTGTTGCCTGTGCTTTTGGCGTTAGAGCCAAAAAATCACTGCCAGATCCAATGTCATGAAGATTATTCCCTATGTTTTCTTTTAGAATTTTATAGTTTTAACTCCTAAATTTAGGTATTTGATCCATTTGAGTTAATTTTTTATATGATGTCAGATAAAAGTCCAGCTACTGCTTCTTATTATTCTTGTATTGGATATCCAGTTTTCCCAGCACCATTTGTTGGAAAGTCTGTCATTTCCACATAGATGGTATTGGCACCCATGCAAAAATCAATTGATCATATACACAAGTGGATACTTTAAAAGTACAATGGGAAATTATGGATATTAGTAATCAAGGCTTCTAGGCAACTCTGAGTCTCTACATTGACTTTCTTAAGTCCGTTTGGAAGTGATAGACGCAAAAGAGAAAAGGGGATTCTAAACTCCAAAAATCCCTTTACTAAGAGCAAAACATACAGTAGCGAACATTAAACTTGGCATTTTTTTAACAAGAAACTATAGAAAAAATAAGTTTTGGTAGGAAGAGGAAACTCAAGAAATGAACCAAAGAAAAGAGGAAGTTAAGGAAGTCTTCAATAGAGATGAAGAAATACAAAGGCTTCAACAGAAAAAGAAAAAGGAAGACGAAGAAAATGAAAGGGCCAGGCACGGTGGCTTACACCTGTAATCCCAGCATATTGGGAGGCCGAGGTGGGCGGATCACTTGAGGCAAGGATTTTGAGCTCAGCCTGGCCAACATGGTGAAAACATTTCTCTACTAAAAATAAAAACATTAGCCAGGCATGGTGTCAGAAGCCTGTAGTCCCAGCTACTCAGGTGGCTGAGGTAGGAGAATCACTTAAACCCAGGAGGCAGAGGTTGCAGTGAGTGGAGATCCCACCACTCCAGCCTGGGCAACAGAGCGAGAGACTGTCTCAAAACAAACAAACAGAAAAACAAAACAAAACAAAAACAGAAAAAAAAATTTGTGGTATATTTACATAAGGGAATACCATTCAGCAATAAAAAGGAATTAACTGTTGTAACACACAACCACATGGATGAATCTCAAAATAATTATGCTGACTGAAAGCAGCCAGACCAAAACACAGTGCATACTGGCCCATCAAACTGTATACATTAAATATGGTGCAGTTTTTTGTATGTCAATAATTCCCAATAACACTGTAAATAAAGTATATGCTGAATGATTTCATTTAAACAAATTATGGAAAAAGCAAATTGATCTATAGTGACAGAAAACAAATCAGTGGTTCCCTCATGCAGCTAAGCAGAGTGATGTGAGGGTGATTTTTGGATTAGGGTATGAAGAAATGTTTATGGATGATTAATATGCTGATTATCTTGAATGTGGTGAAGGTTTCGCAGGTGATGGTTCCACATATGTCAAAACTTACCCAATTTTTCATTTTCAGTATATGCTGTTTTTATATGTCAATAAAGCTGTGCTAAACAAAAGCAATTTTTGCTTTTGTGACATAAGTGGAACTGAAAATCTGTATCCATTCTTTGTCAGAATTCCTATATCTTTCATCATATCCTTGTAATCTTTTCTCACTTTGTATGGTAAAGAGAAGTGAGCTCATGAGGTTCAGAGCAATACCCTCACACTTTAAAGTTAAGTTTCCCCTGTGTGCAGGCACTATTAGCAGCCTACCCAACAGGTGTCTCTCTTCCCTGTCAGAGTCTACTTTCTCATATTATAAGCTGAGAATGCCTGGACTAGTAACCCAATCAAGGCTAGTGACACCGGAAGAGAAGTCTACTGTGGGCATTCTGGGGAAGATTTTCCACCCTGGTTAAAAGAGAAACATGTGAAATGTCCTTCCTTCCTGCCTTTGAATGTTGTTATAGGAAGATATAGCTGGGCACAGTGACTCACATCTATAACCCAGCACTTTGGGAGGCTGGGATGTGTAGATCACTTGAGGTCAGGAGTTTGAGGCCAGCCTGGCCAACATGATAAAACCCCGTCTCTACTAAAAATACAAAAATTAGTTGGGTGTTACGGCTGGCGCCTGTAATTCCAGCTATTCAGGAGGCTGAGCCAGTAGAATAGCTTGAACCCAGGAGGTAGAGGTTGTAGTGAGCCAAGATACCGACACTGCATGCCAGCCTGGGTGACAGAGCAAGACTCTGTCTCAAGAAACAAAAACAAAAAAGATATAATGTTTTCAGGTATGGGAGACTTTTTGCAACTATGAAGGGAAAACCAAGAATCTCAGAGAAGTCAACCAGAAACCCTGACAGTGTTTTCCTGCTAAATTAATCAACCCTAGAGCCATCTACCTCTAGATTTCTTGTAATATGGAATAATATACTCCTCATTTTCCAGAAGCTACTTTAGTTGCATATTTTGTTACTTGCAGTTGAAGACGGACATTTAATGACATTAGTAATTAAAATAACTGACATAAGATGATAACCTGAAATGGGTGGCTACACAGTTTTAGCAACATTTAAATTTTAGTCAAGATATTTAATTGTATCCTTTCTGAAGAAAGAGCATAGTAAGTCAATACGGCAGTGGCCCCTTCCAAATCTGTCCACCCAGCTCAGCTATTTCTTCCTAGTAGAGGCCAATGAATACCCTGTGAGTGCCTGCAAGATACACCACAAAGCTGTCAGCAATGCAGGAGCTAGCCTGCTCTGAACCATGGCAGGGGAACTGTCCATGTTTGCCTCCTGTTATGATATGGCCCTGGGCACAGTGGCAACAAGAACTTGCCTAAATTGTTGCCTTAGCATCTATGGATTTGATGTCCAAACTAACTTTCACTTATACCTTTCAGTAATGGTGGCTCCCACAGCTGCTCCTTCACACTGCAGGTGACTGCCCAGATCGCAAAATTAGGTTGTGCAAGCAACATCCAGCCAGGAATCCTAGCCAATGAAGCAGGTTGGGTTCACGTGACTGCTTAACAGAAGAAACAGCTTCCACTTGAAGTCCCAAGCAAAGATTTTTAAGCTCCTGTAAAGCACTATGGAATCCTTTGTTAAAGGAGGTACAATCACAATTTGTTTTGCTAGGCTTACTAGGCTTAGATATTCATACTCTATGTTACTTGAGGCAAATCGAAATTTTGTACTGGATTTTGTATTCATTTCTTAGATTTCCAGTTTCCAGAGGAGAGACTGGCCAGGTGCTGTGGCTCATGCCTATAATCCCAGCACTTTGAAAAGCCAAGGTGAGAAGATCGCTGGAGGCCAGGAGTTGGAGACCAGCCTGGTCAACATAGTGAGACTGCATCTCTACAAAACATTTCAAAAATTAGCAGGGCATGGTGGTGAGCACTCAGGGTGGGAGGATCTCTTGAGGAGCCTAAAAGGTGGAAGCTGCAGTGAGCCATGACTGCACTACTGCACTCCAGGCTGAGCAACAGAAGGAGACCCTGCCTCAAAAAACAAAACCAACCAACCAAAAATCAAAAAAGTTAAAGGAGAGATGACCTATCTTTAACGGATTCAATTGTTTAATTATATGCTTTCCTGTGTATTGTTTCTGGCAACAAGATTATAAACCTTTCTCCTCTAGCACCAAGCCCAGTGCTTTGTAGCCAAGATTCCATAATATAATGACTGAGAAAAACAGGAGTGATAAGACATAGAAATCAATAGCAAATTGGCCGGGCGCGGTGGCTCAAGCCTGTAATCCCAGCACTTTGGGAGGCCGAGGCGGGTGGATCACAAGGTCAAGAGATCGAGACCATCCTGGTCAACATGGTGAAACCCCGTCTCTACTAAAAATACAAAAAAGTAGCTGGGCATGGTGGCACATGCCTGTAATCCAAGCTACTCAGGAGGCTGAGGCAGGAGAATTGCCTGAACCCAGGAGGCAGAGGTTGCGGTGAGCCGAGATCGTGCCATTGCACTCCAGCCTGGGTAACAAGAGCGAAACTCTGTCTCAAAAAAAAAAAAAAAGAAAAGAAAAAAGAAAAAGAAATCAATAGCAAATTATAACATGTTCATAAACAAGGTAGGTAACTGATTTATCAGTGCTATATATATGTGTGTGTTTGTTGTCGTTGTTCGTTTATTTGAGACGAGTCTTGCCCAGGCTGGGGTGCGGTGGTGCGATCGCGGCTCACTGCAACCTCCGCTGCCTGGGTTCAAGCGATTTCTCCCGCCTCAGCCTCCCGAGTAGTTGGGACTACAGGCACGGGCCACCACAGCCAGCTAATTTTTTGGCATTTTTAGTAGAGACGGGGGTTTCACCATGTTGGCCAGGCTGGTCTCGAACTCCTGACCTCAGGTTAGTAGCCCGCCACTGCCTCCCAAAGTGCTGGGATTATAGGCGTGAGCCACCGCGCCCTGCCTTTTAGGGCATACTCTGCTCGTTTGCATTCACTGCAAACTGGTAGATTAATCATTGCCTAACTCTAGCAGAGATACTCCTGAGCCTGAAAAGCCCCTGCGGAAGTCACAAAGTCCCCAACATAAACTTGTGTGGCACAGGGCGGCGCCGCACAGCTATACCAGGGAAGAGAGCGAATGTGCAGGTCTAACCGCCCCCTCAAGCCCCTGCGCTCAGCACCCCCTTCGCACCCGGGGAGGGGCGGAGCCGCGTACCGGAAAAGGCGGGGCCATCGGAGTGCCTAAGCGCTGCCCTCGGTTGTCGAGCTTCCTTTCCCGCACGGCTGGCGAGGGAGGAGGAAGTGCAAAGAGCCGTTGATCATGCTGATGTGGCGGCGGCGGAGCCTGAGGGCCAGTCGCTGGGCTCTGCGAGGTGAGAATGATTGCGGTCATAGTTCCCTCTCCCCTATGTGCGGGTTCCTCCGGCGTGTGGGTGCCGAGCGCGGCCCCTGTGCCTTCCCCAGGCGCCAGCGGAGCGGGTGGCAGCTGCGTAGGCCAAAAGACTGCACTCCCGGCTCCCCCAAGGTCCACGAGCTTACTCCTGAGCCATCTGCGCAGTCGCGTTTTGGGAGTAACCACCCTGAGAGGCTTACCTGACCTTGTTCCGTCAACACCGCTTCACTGTCCTCTGTTCAGAAACTGGTCAAAGGCCTTCTGACTTAAGGAGGCGCCTGCAAGGGACCGCCAGGGGCTTTGTGCTCCACCCGGCCTTGACCAGCTCTCTCTTGTGTACCCAGCAAAGCTGTGCGTGCGGCCTTGGCGGTTTCAGGCTCTTAGTAGGCAGCTTATTTTTCTTAAAAGGGAGCATTTTATAAATGGGGAGGTGACTGTCCCTTAGATGTCAGAATGACCCTTATTTAACCGTACTTTGTGAGTGGCTTTGAAATTTTAGTAAGCACAGTTTACAGAGTCAGTACTAGTCACGGCCCATTCATAGAGCTAGTCGGTATTTGTAATACGCTCTAAAGTCAAGGCGTGGAGGTTGGAGAACAACCCGTGCAAGTATAGAAGGCCCTTAGGCTAAATACCTGCTACACACAGAGATGATTGCATTTACATAGAGACGTGTATTTCTGGACATAATACAGAAGAAACCGGGTCAGCAGCTGGGGGGCTGGAAACACCTAGCTATTCAGAAACAATTTTTTTTTTTTTTTTTTTTTTTTGAGACAGAGTCTCATTCTGTCGCCCAGGCTGGAGTGCAGTGCAGTGGCTCGATCTCCTCTCACTGAAACATCCGCCTCCTGGGTTCAAGCAATTTTATGCGTAAGCCTCCCGAGTAGCTGGGATTACAGGTGCCCGCCACCACCTCCAGCAAATTTTTGTATTTCTAGGGGAGATGGGGTTTCACCATCTTGGCCAGGCTGGTCTTGAACTGACCTCATGATCCACCCGCCTGTGGCTCTCAAAGTGCTGGAATTACAGGCATGAGCCACCGCGACCGGCCACAGAAACAAATTTTAAAATTGCATAGCTCATCAGTGAGACTTGGTATAGTTGTTTTTATTTATTCCCTTCAAATTTGAAATGCATTGATGGCTTCGTCTTGAAATAATCGTTAACTGTCAAGAGGATGAATGTCATGGCTTTTACTTAAAATATTTTTGGTATTCTTATTTTTGAGGCTTCAGTATCTTGAATTCTGTTTTCACTGGTAAGTGCTAAAAATTTCCAAACTAAATATTTAATAAAATTTGTAGTACAGGGAAGTTCTGAAGCATAATAAACACAAAAGAATCCACCGATCCATTTGAGAACTATAATATTACCAATACTAGAGTATCTTGTTTACATTCCCCTGCCTCCTATTCAGTGGTACCCACCATCTGGAATTTTGTGCCAGTCTTTTCGTTTCCGGGGGGAGGGGGTAGGATAGCAGTTTCATTATGTATATGCATCTCTATAAATACCTTTTAAGCTTTGTGGGGTTTTTGTTTTGTTTTGTTTTTTTGAGACAGGGTCTCGCTCCCATCGCGTAGGCTCTAGTGCAGTGGCGCAATCTCGGCTCACTGCGACTTCCACCTCCTGGGTTCAAGCAATTCTCCTGCCTCAGCCTCCTGAGTAGCTGGGATTACAGGCATGTGCCACCATGCCTGGCTAATTTTTTGTATTTTTAGTAGAGACAGGATTTTGCCATATTGGCCAGGCTGGTCTCGGAGCTCCTGGCCTCAAATGATTCACCCGCCTAGCATTAAAAGGCGTGAGCCGCCGGGCCCCGCCCATTTTTTCAGCTTTGTAAAGATAGAATTATCCATGTAGTTGTCTAGTTCCAAATCATTTCCTATTGCTGTCTGGCAATTATTCTCCTGGGGTGCGGTATGATTTTTTTGCCCAGGCCATGTCCTTTGCAGTTTTCGGTTAACTTGGGGCTTATTTTTACAAGAATGTGTCCAGTAAAAATGCCAACATAAATATCTCTGCTCTAAAAACTGCTAGATTTGCCATTATAATCTTTTTAGGTGAAAGTCTTCATGCTAGTTTTTATACATCTAATCTGGCTTATAGCTCATCCTGGTCAAGCTGTGAGACAGAAAAGCAGTGGCTGTTACTCACTAGGACAATTGTGTCTGCCTCCCAGATTCAAGCAATTCTTCCTCAGCCTCCCCAGGTGCTGGGATTATAGGCGTGAGCCACCACGCCCAGCCAGTACTTTTTGTATTAAAAAATGGGTTAGGAGTCTGAAAGGTAGGTTGCAAGTGCCTAATGAGATTCTCTTCCTGGACCATTCGTACATATAAGATGCCAAATAAATGCAAATAAAAATGGGAATTCAAAATGTAATATTTAATTTCCAGGTGCAAGAAAGCCTTTGAGTTGAAGAGGTATGAAGGTCATCATGACAGATGTTATCCAAAAACTTGTCTGTGAAATAACTAAAAGGATCACACAGCATGTATTGAGGTACCTAAAATTAATGTTATGTATTCTTGACAGATAGGATTAATAGCTGGCACAATGATGACTTAAATTATTTTTTGCCGTTTACCCAACTGAGGGTGTCTTTGAAGAAATAATTTTAAGACTGAGATGCCAGTAATCTACATTGATTGATTACTGACATGCATGTAAGGCAATATTTAATTAAGAAGGGTGAATGAATATTCTTTTTCTTTAGCATGTAGGTTGCTGTAGATGAATGTACTTCGCTATCAGTGTTTAAAAAGTTTAAAAATACTTCTGCTTCACTGCCTCAAGTAAGTGTGATTTGTCAAGCAGCTGTATCTGCTAATAGTTCAGAAAGTATCTGGTAAACTCCAAAGGGTGGGGGCCAATTCTTGTTGAAGTTGTCTTTGCATGTGTGTATTCTCAACATTAAATTTTTGAGGGGCACTTTGTTAATATTGAGGTTATATGAGAACTTTGAGTATGGAATGATTTTCACTGTTGGTTTCTGATTTTGTTTTGGAGGTGTGGCATGCAACATTTTGGAAAGAAAATTGAAGACTGTCAAGAAAACATGAACAGAAGTAAATGATGAAATGAGTTTTTTTTTTTTGATGTTGATAAAGATCACAATAAATTATGGAGAAAATATGTGTTTGGCTAATTGTATAAATTGCTGAACAATAAATTGTTTTCTTTTTAAATTAGCTCTAAAGAGCTCCATTCTCATAGTCACTAGCCAGACCAGTTTTTAACATACTTGTCGTATTTGTGGATGGTGATTCTCACTGAGGCCAACAGGTGGGGAGACATTGCTTGTACCTCTAGGTTCCCTGTTTGGCCTCCCCTTCAGAACCTGCTGTTGTGCCAGGTGGTTGGATTCTTAAAACTTCTGAATGCCAAATAGCAATCGTTTCACCTTTATTCAGTTTGCTTTTCACCTTTGTGAACAAAAAGTCCTCCTAATACTAGTACACATAATAACTAAGCAATATGCTATGTTATGAGAAATAAGATTGAACAGGCCATTCTGTCCAGGACTAAATTGGTAAGAATTCTAAAGCTGAATTTATATCTGGGTGAATGAAGGCTTACAGCTAAATCTTCTGTTGAGTACTAGCTTATAAATCACTTTTACCAAGGTTATAATTTGCATGTGATAAATGATACAAAACCTATATAACAACATCTTAGTTCCCTCAAGTATAGACTTGTGGGGTATAAATATAGTTTGGTTGCATGGGTATATGAAGTAGTTTGGAGTTAGATTTTTATGCAGCCATTACCTGAATGGTGTAGTTTGTACCCATTAAGTAATTTTTCACCCCACTCCCTTCTAATTATCCAATAACTTTTAAAACACCATTGGCATCATATTGAATATTAATGTATTACCTCCCATAATTGTTTATCTTTCTGAATGTACGCTTATACTCTTTAGGTACCGAAATAAAAGGTTTAGTAAATGCAACCCCTGTAATGAGAAATGTAAACATTTAATTTTTTGTATGGAAGTGGCCCTCTTTGAGACTGAGGTTGGGAGGGTCCTTTGAGCTGGGGAGACTAAGGTGGCAGTGAGTTGTGATTGCATCAGTACACTCCAGCTTGAGTGGCAGCTATATAAATATAGATAAGTAAATAAAAGTCATTTTTGTGCCATGCATGGTGGCTTACCCCTGTAATCCCAACGCTTTGGGAAACTGAGGTACTGAGATGGGAGGATAAGTTGAGGCCAGCCTGGGAAACATGGCAAAACCCCATCTCTACAAAAAAATGTAAAAATTAGCCCAGGGTGGTGGCATGTACCTGTAGTCTGAGCTACTTGGAAGGCTAAGGTGGAAGAATTGCTTGAGACTGCAAGGTCGAGGCTGTAGGAAGCTGAGATGGTGCCACTGCACTCCAGACTGGGGGACAGCCCCTGTCTCAAAAAAAAAAAAAAAAAAAAGTTTTTGAACTTTAAAAGGATCCTAGTTTTATAAAATAGGAATGTGTTTTGACTTCACCCCATACAGAGCTAGAAATGTTTGAAATGTAGTATTTGAGACACAAAATAAAGGTCTTAACCTTATAGAACTGTAACATGTAAATATTTTGTTGAAAACTACCTTTGTTGCTGAGTGTGTTGGCTCACACCTGTAATCCCAGCACCTGGAGAGGCTGAGGCAGGCAGATCATCTAAGGTCAGGAGTTTGAGACCAGCCTGGCCAACATGGGGAAACCCTGTCTCTACTAAAAATAGAAAAATTAGCTGGTCGTGGTGGATCGCACCAGTAATCCCAGCTACTTGGGAGATTGAGACAGGAGAATTGCTTGAATCCAGGAGGCAGAGGTTGCAGTGAACCGAGATTGCCCTACTGTACTCCAGCCTGGGCGACAGAGTGAGACCCTATCAAAAACCAAAAACACTATCTTTGTCTTCTGAAAACTAATACTATTTAGACCCTGCTACTAGTTAGGTATTCAATAGTAGTGAACAACTTCCTCTGGAGAGTGGGAGAGGTCCAGCTGCATAGTTAAGCAGCCCTATGAAGGGACCAATTTTGAAATAATTGAGGCATGGTAGCATCTTGGTTAACAAAGTGGCAATTTGGTAATGACATTCTACTTTTCTGTGAATAGAACTGATCTTTTATTAAAGTTACGAAAACTGAACTAAAAAGGATTTATAAATTTTACAAGATAGGTTTGTTTTTTCATGGTGCCCCTATCTTCTTTTTTTCTTTTTTATTGAGACGAAGTCTCCCTCTGTTGCCAGGCTGGAGTGCAGTAGCACAATCTTAGCTCACTGCAACCTCCGCCTCGTGTTCAAGCGATTCTCCTGCCTCAGCCTCCTGAGTAGCTGGGACTACAGGCGTGCGCCACCACGCCCAGCTAATTTTTGTATTTTTAGTAGAGACGGGGTTTCACCATGTTGGCCAGGATGGTCTCGATCTCATTATCAGCCCACCGAAGCCTCCCAAGGTGTTGGGATTACAGGTGGGAGTTACTTTGCTGGGCCAATGCCCCTATCTTTTCAAAGCAGGTATCTTCTCTCCAAAAATGAGGACTAGATTTGCAAATTGGTTTATTTGCCTTTTGGAACCTTTCTGGTAACCAGTTAGGATTAAAGACCCAATTTATAAGTTATTGGCTCCTTGGTTCCCTGTATTTTTTCATTTAACCTGGCACATACATAAGGAAAACTTCCAAGGCTTTTCCTAATTCCATATTTAGGGCTTCTAAAACAGTGGTATGTAATGGACATGTCAATAATAAAATATGAAAAGGCCTTACATTTAAAGCTTCACGTTTAAAGTATTTACTCATCAGTTTAGCAAGTTCACAAGTGGAAGAAAAATGTTTTAGAATCATTTGTAGGTAAAGAGTTATTGCCATCTTGTGACAACAGAGTGAACTAACATAAAGGTTGCCGTTTTTCATATTGATTAGATTGCAACATTCTTTACATATTTATCTGTTCACCACTGGTATTCTGGGCTAACCGTAAGATTTTTCTTTATAGCATTCTCCTTGACAACTTTATCATTTCAAATTGCCCACATTGTTCTAAGTTTTAAAATTCTATTGGTTTTAGAGGTTTGGATTAGTATTTATCCTGCTAGCAATTTTGAGGGGAATATATTTTGCTTTTTTTTTTTTTTTGAGACGGAGTTTCACTCTTGTTACCCAGGCTGGAGTGCAATGGCGCGATCTCGGCTCACCACAACCTCCGCCTTCTGGGTTCAGGCAATTCTCCTGCCTCAGCCTCCTGAGTAGCTGGGATTACAGGCATGCGCCACCATGCCCAGCTAATTTTTTGTATTTTTAGTAGAGACGGGGTTTCACCACGTTAACCAGGATGGTCTCCATCTGTTGACCTTGTGATCCACCGGCCTCGGCCTCCCAAAGTACTGGGATTACAGGCGTGAGCCACTGCGCCCGGCCTATTTTGCATTTTTTAAAATAGTATTGTAATATATTCCTGTACACAGTATTATGGAAGCATTTATTCAAAGTCACTCTCAAAATACTCACACCTTTTCTCCACTGCTTAGGTAGGAATGAACAAAAATTCCTCAAATTGCTTATTCATCACTAGAGAAAATAGTTGTCCCAGGCCCATATGTGGCAATAAACTGTTCCAGCTGTTGTTGGCACTGAGTCAGATAGAGATCCCTTTGCTCTAAGTATTCTTCATTATATAGTTCAAATGGAAATACTGCATTCGGAGCAACACAAAATACAGTGGCCCCTAAATGAAGAAGATAATAGAATGTAAATGACAAATACTCCTTAAAATAACAAATATGAAATCACATTTTCAACCAAAATACTTTAATAGAATCTTAAAAATTAAGTCTGAGCCCATGTGATTCTGTGAAAAATAAAAGTTAAAAAATTAATTTATGACCTGTTTAGTAGAGTATTTCAATAATCATTATTGAAATCTGACCCTTGTTTTCTGAAACCCAGAAAGCAGGTTCAGTAAATGCACAAACATTGGTACCAGGGCCAATGGAAGAAGTATGTTGATGTTCATATTTTAAAGTTTGGAACTATAGAAATTTGTCTTCTACTGAAATAGTCATCATAGTTTTGAAGCCGAAGAGTGATGTGAGGAGGTGACAGGAGTAGGGAGAAAAGGCACAGGAAGGTAGGGAAGCACTAATCTTTATTTGATAGAGCTTAAATGGATGATCAAAGATCAAAGACATTGTAGTACATTTCTCAGTTGTTAAAACTATTCACATAAAGGCAGACATATCTCTGATAAAGGGGTCTGTAAATCCACAATAAGAAAACAATCATCAAAAAAATGAGCAGAGGACTAACGTAGACATTTCTCTAAAGTAAAACAAATGACCAATAAGCACATGAGAAAGATGCTCAACATCCCTATCACTAAGAAAACACAAATCAAAACTATAATGAGATACCACCTCACACCCAGAAGGGTAACAGGCTGGGCATGGTGGCCCACTCCTGTAATCCCAGCACTCTGGGAGGCCAAGGTGGGCAGATCACAAGGTCAGGAGTTCGAGACCAGCCTAACCAATATGATAAAACCCTGTCTCTACCAAAAAATACAAAAATTAGCTGGGGTGGTGACATGTGCCTGTAATCTCAGCTACTCAGGAGGCTGAGGCAGGAGAATCGCTTGAACCTGGAAAGCGGAGGTTGCGGTGAACAGAGATGGCACCACTGCACTCCAGCCTGGGCGACAGAGTGAGACTGTCTCAAAACATAATAAAAATTAAAAAAAAAAAACAGACAAGGACAAGTGCTGGAGAGGATGTGGAGAAATTGGAACCTTTGTGCACTGTTGGGAATAGGAAATGGTACACCCACTGTGGAAAACAGGATGGCAGTTCATCAAAAAGAGTAAACAATTACTGTATGATATGGCAATTTCACTTCTGGGTATATATCCAAAAGAATTGAAAGCAAGGTCTCAAGGAGAATATTTGCACACCCATGTTCATAGCAGTGTAATTCACAATAGTCAAAGATAGAAGCAACAGAAATATGCATTGACAAGTGAATGGATAAAACACTGTATTTACATACAATAGGATATTATTCAGCCTTAAAAAGGAAGGAAATTCTAATACATGCATAATACGGATGAACCTTGAGAACATTATGCTAAGTCAAATAAGCCAGTCATGAAAGGACAAATGTATGATTCCACTTAATAAAATGTATCTAGAATAGTCAAATTCATAGAGGTAGTAGAGTTAGGCTTGCCAGGGGTAGTAGAGGAGGAAATGAGGAGTTAATGTCTAATGGGTAAGCAGTTTCAGTTTGGAAGATGAAAAAGTTCTGGCGATGAACAATGGTGACAGTTGCACAACAGTGGATGTGAATTTACTTAACACCATAGAACTGAACATTTTAAAATGGTTAAAATAAGTAGATTTTATGTATATTTTACTTCAATTTAAAAATTGACCATGAGGAGTTAAGCTCTTCTCTTTTATTCATTAATTCATTGAACAAATACTTAAATGTGACAGGCCGAGCGTACAGTTGCTAGCCAAACAGTGACTACCTTCCTAGAGCCTCTTAAGAAGAGCCTCAGACTTCTGACTGCTCCCTTTCCTACCTAACCTTCTCTGAAAGCTTGCTGTCCCTTAAGAACACTGCTTTCCTTGTGCCTCTCCAAAATGAAGCTATTTTTTCCCAAACATCCCATATACATAGTGTCACAACACACGGTCAGAGCCTAGCTTGTAGCCACTCTGTTACTTGCAGACCATTCTTTCTCCTGCTTCTCTTCCGGTAAAATCCTTTCTCCTTTGATGCACAGTGCCACCTGGTTTTACCATCCTTCTCCTTCTATAGCCAACTAGCAGCTCTCAGCACTGGCTCAAAATCTTCCTTTCTTCCCTAATACCTGACATAAAGAGATTTTCGTGTGGATGACCCATTTAACTCCCTTGAGATGTCTTCCACCTTTCTCTTCCACCTCAGCCATACATCCCACAGTTATAGGGAACTAATATCACAAGAAACTTACTTCAAAACCTTGAGTTCCCACTCACTTCAAAACCACAACCCACTCCCCTACACTACCTCCTATGCTTCCAGCTCACTTGCTCAAATGTTTCAGGTCTACTTCAGAGACCTCCAATCTGCTTCCTCCAATTCACTTCCTTAACCAGCTTAAGAGTCCCTCCCTTGCCAGTCCCCCAACTCCTTTGACCCTCAGCACCACTCTGCCACACTCACCTATCAAAACCTCAACTCTGCACGAACCCAACCATTCACCTTGTGCTAGCATGAATGCTGCTAGGCAGAAAATCACACAACTGGCATTTCTTTTCCCTTTAAGTGAATCACAGTACCTTTTTTTGTGTGTGTGTGTGAGACGGAGTTTCACTCTTGTTACCCGGGCTGGAGTGCAACGGCACGATCTCGGCTCACCGCAACCTCCACCTCCTGGGCTCAGGCAATTCTCCTGCCTCAGCCTCCTAAGTAGTTGGGATTACAGGCACGCACCACCACGCCCAGCTAGTTTTTTGTATTTTTAGTAGAGACAGGGTTTCAGCATGTTGACCAGGATGGTCTCGATCTGTCGACCTCGTGATCCACCCGCCTCGGCCTCCCAAAGTGCTGGGATTACAGGCTTGAGCCACCACGCCCGGCCTCACAGTACCTTTAAACAATCCCTGCCTGCCTGGCATTTGTTTCCCTCAGACACTTCTAGCCCCCACAATGACTATTATATTCCATTATTTTCTCCTCAAACCTTTCATTTTCAGCTGATGACATTGAGTAAAGTGTATGGCCAAACCTACAAACTTACCTGGTTCTGCATCCATTTTCTTCCCATCTGTAAAATGAAAAAGTGACTCATCTATCAGAGGCTAATACATACACCCTGGATCCTATCCCCTCTCACCGTTTTTGCACTTCACACATTGATCTTACTCTCTTTCTATAGTATTATTAGTTTATTCTTTACTGCACATCATATGATTTAATACCTTTTATCTTTAAAAAAAAAAGTTCCTTCCTGAACCACACATCCTCCTCCAGCTTTCCCTCACTTCTTTTCTCATCTTCATAGTTTGAATATGTGTGCTGTCTTCATAGCCTCATCTCCATTCCCATGCCACTGAAATAGCTCTGATCATGGCTACCTACAACGTTTAAGTTACCAGATTGAATCTCACTCAAACTCTCAGTAGCATGTGACTCAGTTGATCACTCTGCTGCATTCTAGAAACACGCTCATTTCTTAGAAAGAAAATCACACAACACTTGATTTTCTGTCTACACTATAGCTGCTGCTTCTAAGCCTCCTTTGTTAGTTCCTCCTCCACAACCTGTTAATAAATATTGGAATCTTCAAGGGCAGTGCTGGAGTTCTCATTAGTCTCTATCTATGTGATTTCATCCATTCCTTGGCTTTGAGTACCATCTCTATGCTGGTGATTCCTAAATTATATTCCTAGGTTAAAACTTTTCTCTAAGCTCCAGATTCTTTTATCTCTCTATTGATATATCTGTAGAATATCTCCTTTTTTGTAAAAAAAAAAAAAAAAAAAAAAAAAAAATGCAGATTTTTTTTGTTGTTTTTAGTGGTGGTGGTGGTTTTTTTTTTTTTTTTTTTTTTTTTTTTTTGGTACTGTAACTTTATAAAGGTTTGCCTAGATCAAGAAGCAGCACACACACACCTCATCTATGCAAACTAAAAATGTATATAAACAGCACAATACTGTGATATTGGATCATAAACCTTTGGGACACTCAGTTTTATGCCCAATAAGACATGATTAAGTCTTTAAAATCTTATCTTCCTCTTTCATGGGAGGAAGTGAGGTGTGTGCAGAGTCTCAAAACAGTCTCCAGTCACCCAGGCTGGAGTACGCGGTCTCGGCTCATTGCAACCTCCACCTCCTGGGTTCAAGGATCAAGATATATATATAATTTTTTAAAGGATATATCCTACATATATATATGTATGTGTATATATATATATTTGTTTTGTTTTGAGACAATCTTGTCACCTAGGCTGGAGTGTACAAACTTGGCTCACTGCAACCTCCACCTCCCAGGTTCAAGCAATTCTCCTGCCTCAGTCTCCCGAGTAGCTGGGATTACAGATGCACGCCACAATGCCCAGCTACTTTTTGTATTTTTAGTAGAGACAGCGTTTCACCAAGTTGGCCAGGCTGGTCTTGAACTTCTGACCTCATGATCTGCCCACCTCAGTCTCCCAAAGTGCTGGGATTACAGATGTGAGCCACCGCGCCCAACCATTTTTGTTTTAAATTAAGACAGGATCTTGCTGTGTTGCCCAGGCTTGTTTCAAACTCCTAGGCTCAAGCAATCCTTTCACTTTGGACTCCCAAAAGTGCTGGGATTACAGGTGTGAGCCACTGTGCTCAGCCTATAGGATATCTCAAAGTTATATCTATAATTTGACTTTTCTCCTAGCTTTTTCTCTTTCTCCTCAATCTTGGTAAATGGCATGATTATTCACCCAGTTGCTCAAGGCAGAAACATGGGAGTTTTCCTTAATTACTCCCTCTCCTCCCTTCCCCTACCCCCAACTCTTAAATGTAGTTCATGAGTACAACCTGTTGGTTTTTGCATCTAATGTGTATCTCTAATTCACTAATTCCTCTCCACTTCTACTGACTCTACCTAGTTGAGTCTTTCATTATCAACTACCTGAACTACAACAACTGGTTTCCCACTTTCTTCTCTTAACGCCCTCCAACCCATTCTCCATACCAACTC